CAACTTAAGCATCACTCACCATTCTCTGATGAAGAGATGGTGCAGAAGATTTAAAATAAACTTAATTTTTACAAAAATTCTAATAATTTAAACCATTTTTATGCAATAATTTATGGTAGAAATTCCTTCTACAGATGTACTGTAAGGTATAAGATGAAAGTATTTATTTCGTAGAATGAGAAAATGTCATCCTTACCTCATCAACCATTTACTACTTATTTCTTGATGGGGTTATTTATATAATTATACAGTTTAAAGGAATGATTGTCTCGTACAGAATAAGAAAAGACAATCGATAGATGCTCTCTCTCCTCTTTCTCTCGAGACCTAACCTCCCTTCGACAACGTAATAGGAGTTGCCTACTTCCATCCCTTGGATTAGGTTCGAGTTGTGTCGGATGTTAGATAAATGGAAAGTTATGTGTATTTATTTATTATTTTATGGTAAATTCTTCCCATGTTCTCTCTTTTGCTTACTCCATTTTTTCTCCATTGATTAATATTCTATGAATTCCATTTGCTCTCCCGCATCCTTACGACTTTATAAAGGAAGAGATGCATTAAGAAAATAATTAGTACAGATTAATGAATGATATTAAGTAATTTGTCATCCATTAACTACGAATTTTTCTTAATCACTTATTTTTATTGTCGTTTCTTTATGGAAAAATCTTTGTTTTTCTAATTTTAAGTATGTCTTTAAGATTCTTCCAACTCGCTTAAAGATTTATGAAATGTTTTTTTCTTAGTTTATTTTATAGAAGTAGCTTAACTTTTTCCATGAATTTTAGAGTTTTTTTTTACTAAATTTCTTATCATTTCTGCAATTTTTCATGAAATGTTTAATCAATTTTACAATTTTATTACTGAATTTCTTGCGAATTTTCCAAAACTTTTACGAAACGTCTCGTTAATGTTGAAATTTATCATAAAATTGCTCATGAATTTCAAATCTTCCAAGAAATTTCTACATATTAGTGTTTAAAGACCAGAAATTATTTGATACTGTCCATGTTGTATTGTTGGGTGTTTGTGTGTGTTTTTTTTTTACTTTTAAATAAAAAATTAAGCATCTTCAACTTGCCTAATAATTTTACAAGATGGTCCTTAAGTTACATCACGATTTAATATAAATAGCCTAAATTCTTCTATGTTAATTCTTCTTATTGTATATTGAAAGATCATGAAGTTATTAAGGAAGGAAAGATGAGAATTGTTATTTGGGTTCGCGATCTACAGGTTGAATAACTAATTCTTCGTATTAATATTTATAATTCTTGTAAAATTTGTAATTATTTTCAAAATTGTATTAAATTTTAAGCAGTTTCTTTTAAATTCAAATTAAAAAAATTATTATTATTATTTTTTTATATTTTTTGATATTTCTCTTCAGTGATTTATGCTTTAAAATCGTAACTTATAGGCAGAAGGTAAAGCTATAAATTCTCGATTAAATGGTAGGTTTTTTTTTTTTTTATTGTATTTATCCAAGTTTAGAAGTGAATGCAATCAAGGAAATGTGTTGTGTTTTATTCCCTAGACTATGCTGTGTTTCTACAAAATGATTTTGAGTTAAATACTTTACAATCTTTAAATTACAAGTTTCAAAAGTCTATGCATACGTTGTGATTTTTAGAAAATTCTCTTTAAAGGTAACGTTCTCTGAGTCACTTAATGACTATTTTAGAGAATGATACCTTGAATTTTCAGAAAATAATCTTTGAGTTACACCATAATAAAATCACTTAACCATAATAAATCAATTATTAAAGACAAGAGCAAATTTATATGCTAATGAAATGGTGTGTTTGTGTGTGTTTTTTTTTTACTTTTAAATAAAAAATTAAGCATCTTCAACTTGCCTAATAATTTTACAAGATGGTCCTTAAGTTACATCACGATTTAATATAAATAGCCTAAATTCTTCTATGTTAATTCTTCTTATTGTATATTGAAAGATCATGAAGTTATTAAGGAAGGAAAGATGAGAATTGTTATTTGGGTTCGCGATCTACAGGTTGAATAACTAATTCTTCGTATTAATATTTATAATTCTTGTAAAATTTGTAATTATTTTCAAAATTGTATTAAATTTTAAGCAGTTTCTTTTAAATTCAAATTAAAAAAATTATTATTTTATTATTTATTAAAATATTACTCTAAAATATTTTTATAAGTTTTCGATTAATTTTCTAGTTTATATTTTGATTTCTCAACCTTCTAACCATTATTTTTATGTAGTATATTATAAAAATGTAAATCATTTCTTATTAAATTATTATATTTTATCACTTATATCATTTAAATTTATTTCGTTATCCGTGTTAACATTGATTTTGAACGGTTAATCGAGGTTATATCACAAATCTCGTTAAATGTTCGTGTAAAATTTTTTTAAAATTCGAATAAAAATATACAGAAATTATTAAAATTTTATTTTTACTATTTTAAACTTATATTAATCATTTAATGAAGCAATAAATCGAATATATCTTACAAATGATTGAGTTTTATATTGAGATATACAAGAAAATTTGAGGAGATACACACAAAAAAATGTAGTAAATATAAAATTATATATTTTAATATATTTTCCTTATTAAAAATTATTATTATTTTAATAAAAATTAAGTTTTTAAACGAGAAATATTACTAAAAAGCACTTTCTTTTCTGGAGAGATGCTCTAGCATCTTTCAACTCGTCATCCTTATCTAAAAAGTTTTCTTACATCTTAAACTTAAAAAAAAATACATTAAATTATCAATTTTATATTGTTTTATTATTAAATTTTTATCTTAAATTTATTAAATTTAAGTAAAAATATAATTTATTCTATTGTAACAGTTGGAGGAAGATTTTAACATTTCCCTACATGATAGGAGATGCATTCTTCTACATCCCGTATGAGTTTTAAATACATTTTATGTCTTAAAAATACATTAAATAATTGATTTCGTATTGTTAAGTTATTAAAATTTTCAATAAATTTATTAAATAACCAAGAATTTAACTGAAAAAAGTCTAGTGCATCAGATCATTAGTTAGAAGATGCTACATCTTTCTGGATCATCTTCCAACTGATGTATCAGTATCTAAACAAATTGTTTATTTCTTAAACCTAAAAAAATATCTTAAATATTAGATTTTCTATTGTTTATTTACTAAATTTGATTCCTAAATTTACTAAATTATAGATTATTTAAGTTAAAATTGTTTCAGTATTTTAGTACATTAGCGCATCAGTTGGAAAAATGCTAGCATCTTCCAAAATGTTCATCTTTATCTAAACAGATCTTTTATATTTAAAAAAAAGTGCTTTACATAATAATTTCTCTATTGTTTAACAATTAAATTATTATTCAGAGTTTATTAAATAAACAATAATTTAACCGAAAAAAATATATATTTATTTAATCTAGCGCATCAGTTGGAAAAAAGCTAGTATTTTTTCCAACTGATGCGTCCTTATCTAAACAGTTTTCCTTTTTTTTTACATCTTAAACTTAAAAAGTACGTTAAATAATCGATTTTCTATTGTTTAACCATTAAATTTTTATCCTAAATTTATTAAATGAATGACAGTTTAACCAAATAAACAATATTTGGTTAAAATATTTACATCCGAAATGATGGAAGTTGAGGAACTTCATCCTTTATCATGGTATTATTTTTTATTTTTTGATGATTTTATCAAAAATATTTTCCTCTATAACAAGAAAAAACTATGCGATTTTTAGAATTTTGAAATTAATTTTTATTGCGTTAATTTTTTAATGTCTTAATTTAATTAAAAATTAGTTAATCTTATATTTTATTAATAAATTTTAAAAATAATAACAATATTTTTATTAAAAGAGAGACAAAAATGTCCCGCCTTGCAAGTGATAAATGCATTTTACATTTAAGGGGTATTTTTAAAATTTATCTTTGACCAGTTTAATAAATTATAATGACGGCAGAGATGCCGATGAGGGAAAGATGCCCAAAAAAACTGATTAAATAACAAGTTTTAAACCTCATTTAAAGAAAAATAAGTTATATACTGAGCTATTAACTTAGAAAAAACAAAAGAAAAATATAATTAATCATCTCTTCTCTTCATCTCATCTCCGCATCTCACCTACAAAGGCATCTCTCCCGTTTAACTTAATTAAATTATTATATTTTTTCAACTAACAGAAGTTATACTAAATTTAGATAATTGTGGAAGGTATATTTACTAGAAAAAAAAAATATATGTATTCTGGAAGTTACTTCAATTATAAGGTGTAGAGTAAAGCATCTTAATTGTCCTCAGTGATACCATTGGAGGTTAAATCCACAGGGGAACAGATAGAGGCGAGTAATCGATTGAGTCATTGTTGAAGTATAAATAAAAGGCGCACGTTCTCCTACAAAAATCTATAGCTGTTTATATAGGTAATAAAGAAAGCAAGCTGCAAGTTACGGAACTGCTAATACATGTTCTACTATTTAATAAAGAGTTAAAAGCTCCTGATAATCGCCTTTGTAACGTTTAACACCCCCTTTTTGCTCTTCTAAAAACCACCAATTTTTATCTAAAAATTCAATATTTTATATTTAAAAAATAATTAAATAAACTATAGTTTCGTAAGTAATCTTCACTCCTTTCCTCACACAGAAACTCTGAAAACTTTACTTGAAACACGAGTATTTTTTTTATAAATTTTTGCGTTTTTACAGTCTCTAAGCGTGTTCTCAGGTGGAGAAATATCGCTATAAACTTTCTACATAATTTTTTGCAATGTTTATTTTAGTATAATTTGTTTTTTTGAAAGAAATTCAACGTGTAATCGAGTTTTTCGCGATGGTTTCCTAACAGGGACGGTGTTTCTAGATATAAATTTGCCACTGAGATGACGGAAGACGAGTAAACGCGAACGTTTTTCTTACTTATAAACAAAACAAAAAAAAACAAACGTTTCTATAAACGTTATCCTACTTTCTTCTAATTCAAAAACATTGTAAATACCTGATTTGGTAGATCCTTTAGTGAAAAGTCTTTCACATAATTTAATTACTGAGGATGCAAAAGGAGAAGAAGAAGAAGAAGAAGAAGAAGAAGAGTAGGAGGAGGATTAAAGAAGAGGGGTGAAACGGCTGGAAAATTATATCTAAACACACGTTTGATAGTTGCGTGCCACACGGCACTTAACGTATGTTGGCGGGTGGTGTCTGGTGGCTTCTCCGTGTGTCTCCGTCTACACCCTGGTGTTGTGTCCTCCACTGCTCATGCGCTCGTCCTCCGTCTCTGATTGCACGATTCGGGACTGCTGCAGATTCGTTCGTCACCAGATTCATGGAGTCCAGGCATTAGGAGTACCCCAGAAAGGCATGCCAGATGAAGGCTAAACGGAGACAAGGCATCGTCTATTCCGTCGCTCCTACCTGTATCACTAGGGGTTCAGGTTCGGAGGAAGACGAAGTTGTCGATCATTCGATACCGGAAGTTAGTCCAAGGAGGCAGTCGAGTTTACGTGACTGTCCTGATAGTCGACAGACCGGCCCGACGGCCGCACTAGGGCGGCGAAATGAATAGCGCCGCTGTAATAGGACGTCAGCTGCGACAGCAGAATCCATCTCGTTTTTCGGGGCCACTGGTCCCCCCCTCGACGCCGGGGAGAGGAAGACCGAAAAGTCCCACCCATCAACCGTTATATCAGTACCCGTCACAGACTCAAACGCTTCAAGCAAGTTCAGGTGCATCGGGGGCACAAGCCCAGAATCAATCAGGCAAACTGGCTAAAGAACGAAAGAAGAAGGGTCTAGCGGCAGTTAAGGAGAAGGTGAACTGTCGTTGCATCATACAGACTTGTAAAGCTTTATGTTGTGGTATGTTCCTCATTATGATAGGTACTACCATGTCCGTCGTTGGTTTCTACGCTCCAACGTTATCCAAGGAACTGGTGCAGGAGGGTAACAAAACGGTGGAGGTGACTAACGAAGATACTAAATATCATTTGCATAATCTTACTTTTGTAGGACCCGTTTTTATGGGACTGGGTGGTTTCGCTATAGTGGCATCGTGCGTTATGACCTTCGAGGGACCCGAGGCCAACGCTCGCGTGGTGCCCATGAGAAATAAAAGGCCGTCAGCCGGTGACGTCTTGTCTGAACAGTTACTCGATGGTCCAATTGGTAACTCTATACACGCCAAAGAGAAAATGAACGGGCCAAATTTGGGTAGCCCGTTTTTAATGGTTCCCACGCCGGTGGCACCTTTGGTTCTGACACTGCCAGCGCCTCTAAAAGTTCCGGATAAGGGTGGAGGGAAAAATAATAATAGCAAATCCGAAGTGAAATCGCCTCCGTCTTCGTTCCCTAATGGACCAAACAGGCAGAAGAGGCCATCTTTACCGTTAAAACCTTTAAGGGGTTGTACGCCACCGTTACGAACTAAACCTTGGGATATGATGAGCCCTCAACTAGATTTCGTACCTTCGCCTCAAGATGTGCAATTAACGGATCCAGACGGTTGTGATACGCCCATGTGTGATTCTTTAGACTCCATGGAGATAGATACACACAGATTTTCCAACTGTCCCATAACTGTTAAAGTCCAGTTAGAACCCAGGTATCTAGCTTCGATTGAAACACTATCGGATACGGATTCGTTCGCATCCGAAGACCTTCCAACGCCCATTGCTCATTACGAGCCCTCTTGCGATGGAGATCTCGAGGAGATCGACCAAGAAATGCCACTTCTTGGAAGGTGTAGCCCACCGTCCCCAATAACTCTTCGACCAGAGATGGAATTGCCACTTTTGAAGAGAGATGGCATCAGGCGTTTTCCATTAATCAGGCAGGGAGCACTCGAAAATGGTCGTGATATGTGTGATTTAACAGATATTGGTCCTACATAATAAAAAATTTAATTCAAGACAGGGTCAAGGTTCATCCACCCTATTCTGTGTTCACGAAATTCCAAACAAAACAAAAAAAAATTAAAAATAAATAAATAATTAATAAATAATCATATGGTGTCAGAAAAGCACTGTCAAATTGTACTTCGTTGTTTTAATTTTCGTCAATTTTTTCTGTCCGACTATTTGGTAACAGGACAGTATTGTCTAAAGTGTCGCTACAGGTAAGTCTTTTTACTATATTTTTATTTAAAATCCTCAAAAATATATACTTTATTATAATTAAAGAAGAACGTTGATGAAGTATTAAGCCCTATAATAGCGAGTAGTGGCCTTATATTTCATATTTTAAACACCAAATTTTATTACCTAACACTATTTTTAATGCATAGGGCCTCTAAAGGGTAAGTAGCTCAGGCCTCTGAGATGCCTTGCTGTAGAATGATATACTATTCTCTAACAATGCACAACTTTCAGAAGTATTTAATAGTAAATTACACCCTCTAATGGGCTTAATATTATTTAAATCTATTTGATATTTAACAGTAAGAAAGTATTATTGATAAACAATACTTAACTCTATCTAAATAATGTCCAACACGAGAAGAAGCATTTAAAACACTTAACAACACTAGAAAAACAATACTTTGAAACAATTCTTAACAATAAACAACATAACTTCTGCAGAACAACACTAGATAATTTTATACTTAATAATTAATGAATAACACTACAATAATATTTAATATTAATAAAGTAGAATAATTTAATAAAATAATACTTAAAACAATATAAGATAGAGCTTTAGCTGTAGAAGAATATTCAACCCTAGAAAAATAATACACGAAACACTAGAAGAATAATACTAGAGAAAGGTTTTATCTCAGAAGTGTACTCAACACTAGAAAAAAGAAAAAAAAATAACACCAGAAGCAATATTCGACACTAGAGAAAGCAGTTTCCGTGAAATAACGCTCGACAGTAGAAAAAGTAATATCTTACGAACAATACTCGACGCTAGAAGGATGTGATTTGTTAACACAACACAAGAAAGTATCGTACACAAAATAATAGACAATATTAAATCATCTGTGATAATACCCAACACTAAAAAAAAGTATCATTTGTGTGCCAAATATATAAAATTGGTAATTGATTTTCTTCATTTATTATTCCTTACTCTTAGAATACATAAATAATACTTTACTTTGTACATAGAAAGTATTATGTACAGAATATTAAAGCATTAGCTGTAATGATATAAAGTATTATTGGCGTGACTAACATGAAAATTATTGCTAGAAATGACATAAATAGTTGTATATTTTGTGTATATTTATTTATAACTTCTTAGTGCTTCTGTATACAACAGAAAGTAATTTACAACACTAGAAAATTTGTGGACGAACACAAGAAATTAACAATAGATTTCTTTATTAATTATCACACTTTGTTTTCTATTGTTCTAAATAACAATAAATTATATATAAATGCGTTTAGTTACATTTAAATTTTTATTGTTTTCTATATTGTATTGTATTATAAACTATTTCATACAGTATAATATTCAACACCAAAGCATTTATTGTGAACAATACACAACACTAGGAAAGTATTATTTATATCAAACACAAAATATTAACGATTGATTTTCTTGTTAATTAATGTTACTATTGTTAAAAATAATAATAAATTACACACAAATAGTTTATTATTTATGCACACAACATACAAAACATTAAAAAAGTATCATTGATATGATAATAATTGTCATTTTTTGATGTTTGACAACAAAAATTAATTCGTTTATTATTGTATTGCTTTCAATTGTTTCTATTGGTAAAAAGTAATAACAATTTATACATAAAAAGTTGCATTCTTGTGAATATTTACATATAGTATTTATATGTACACCTGTAAGTAGTAGCCTACTGTATACAGGATAATAGCCTACACAAGTAATTCATGTATATGATTAACACAAATTGGTAATTAATTTCTTTGTTAATTATTGCTCATATTGTTCTTATTATTAGAAATAACAATAAGTTACATTACGTATAATTTATTATTGTTTATTTCTTTTAGAAATTGTACAGTTTTACATATTAGTGTTTAAAGACCAGAAATTATTTGATACTGTCCATGTTGTATTGTTCGTAAATAATTGTATACTTCTTAACATAAACACTAGAAAGTCTGTAATATTGTAAACATGAACACTAAAAACTCACGCTTACTTTATTAATTATCACCTTTATTGTTTGGTATTGTTAGAAATGACACTAAAATAGAGCATTTTATACACCAGTAAATGTTACATACACTATACAGTAATACATAAACAATACGTAACACTAGAAAAGTATTATTCGTATGACGTAAACAATTGATTTCTTTACTAATTAATCACACTTATTGTTTGCTATTGTTAGAGATAACAATAAACAGTTGTATTTTTTGATTAATTCGTAGCGTTTTGTGTGTTCTAAAGGGCGAATTTGTAGTGTTATCGAAAGAAGAGTTATAAATCATCAATTATTTTATTTTGAATAAAAAATATTTTAACGTATAAAAATTTACAAATAATATTTCTTTTCCATTCTTGGCAAATATCCAGGTGTGATAAAAAGTATTTTCTTCCACCCTTTTTTTTTATTACTTTATTTTCTGTACAAGGTCGAACATACTCCAACCTTATCATAACATTTTAAAGTTGTTTACTGTTTTGTCTAGAAAACGGCAAAATTTACATATTTTCTTCTGTTATTTTGCTGTCTTTTTTAAAATATTTTTTCTCAATAAGTCATAGTTCTAATATAAGTAATTAGCACAGAAATGTAATACTTGATATGTGGCTATTTTTTTTACTACTTTTATGCATTTTTATGCTTATTTCGATGGTAAAAATGATTAAAATTNGTTAATTTTTAATTTTTTTGTTTTCCTTTAAATTTTAACACTTTATTCAAATATTTAATATGTTATTACATTCCTATTTATCTTTTAACGTAGTTATCCTATTTTAAATCCATCAAAATCTTAGTTTTTAATCCTACTCCACATTCTAACATACTTATCTTACATTAAACTTAATAAAAACCTATATTTTATCCTAGCATCCTATTCCTTCTGTCCTTATTAATACATATTTATACTAACTCTAACCTTAGTATATTATTCTATCTCTTTCCTTCTTATTCATCGTTTAACTAGGACCTATCCTTATCCCTATTTATATTTAATTTTATTATTTTATTATTGTATTTTTTAATCTTAATCTATCTCCTATGACACTTATCCTGAATTAAATTCCACTAAAATCTATTCTTTAGTATATTAATAATAAAGAGTATATTTATGGAAATTTAATTCAGGATGAATACCCTATTTCTTTCATCTTTATTCAATTAGAGTTTATCCTTATTCTGTTATCCTAATACTATTGATCCTTAAACACATTTTTCCTGTATAAAACCTGTATAGTGTCTTACTATAGATACATATTAGGACACTATCCTAGGCTTTATATAGATTTTATATAGGAAAAGTGTGTATAAGGATGAATAAAAATAGGATATATATATGTATATGTATGTATGTATATTCTACTATAATTATCCTACATTAAACTTAACCAGAACCTATCAAATACTATGAATTCCTCTTTAAATTGATACTAAGGAATCTTTAAAAAATCAATTTATACATATATAAAATGACTTTAAATTATTTTAAAATATATTTTTATATTGTATAACCTTATATTTATAAGAATAATCGCATATTAAAACATGTGAATTGATTAAATTTACTGTAAAGCGTTATTATGTATGCAGCTTCCTACTGTGAACATTTGCTTAACGACGAAGATCTTTACTTTAATATTTGGAGAACATTTAAATCTACTTAACTTTCTAAATCTTTTCTTTTTGCACTTTAAATACTATTAAATCCATTTGTGAACAAATTAGGATGCGGAGGTAAAATTTATTTTTTAGATAAATCGATATCTTTGACTCCATTGGGAAGTGGATAAATATATTCAGAATTTTGATATTATGTTTCCAACAGGATGCTGGTTGTTTTAACATAAAGTAAGCATATTAGAAGATTAAAATAAGATGCGATGATATGATTATATCATAAGAAAAACGCTCTAGATTGCGTTAAAATGTAGCATAAATAGGAAAGATAGAGGCTGAAGGATGATAGGAATGAAAGAAACAGGAGAATGTGGTAAATAATAGGCTCTACTCAAGTTTGATATTAGTTAAATATCCTATAAGATGAATGTAAGAAATTGAATAATATATTGAGGAATAAACTCTAGTTGAATTTTTAATAGGATAAATATGTTAAAAGATAATTAAGGATGAAAGGAACACGATAATATGCATGGTTTAGTTGGACTTAACATAGAATTAGTACGCTATAAAATAATATAACGATGAAAAATAGCACACTGTGCTAAAGAATAGATTTCAATTACATATATATTGCATGTTAAGGGGTGGAAGATAAAGGGAATACGTTAATATCGTAATGTAAGACTTTATTTCAGTTTAAAATAGAATAAATATGCTAGAAGACAAAGAAAAGAGATGGGATAATATAATAAGGAACAGGACATGTTAAACACAGGCTCTAGTTAGATTAAATTGATTAAAAAAAACCCTTTAAAAATTTTTAGAACTGAGAATAGGTTTCTGTTATTTAAAAATTCCTGAAAATAGGAAAATTGTCTTTTAATTCGACGACATTTTTACATAAATTAGGTACCATTTTATGTAAAATAAAGCAAAATGCCTTCTAAACATACTTAAAATTATACTGAAGTTTATCTAAATAAATATAATTTCCTGTAGGAAATGCTCAACATCTTCTAATGATACGGAAGCAGAAGATGTGGAAGATGCAACAACTTTCTAAAAAAAAATTCTTATTAAAACTTCTAAAACTTTATTGCCGCTTAATTGTTTTGAATTAATCTAAATTTCCCATTCAAGAAAATAAAGATTTATTACTGTAGAAGTATTTTAGAGAAAGAGAGAGAGAAAGAAAAAAAAATAAAGTTAAATTCTAATAGAAGAAGAATGAGATGGAGGGAGAGGATCGAATTTTTCTTTTTAAGTAAGTGTTACAAATTTAATGAAGTTGCTTTCAAATAAATTTATTTTAAAGATTTATTGGAAGTTACGTAGCATTCGAATTTAAAAAAGAA